TTTGTGGATGTTCTCCTCTTTAGCTTAAACTTGAACTTCCGGTTAATCAAATGGGATAGGTTTACTCTTTAAATCCATCGGTTGAATATATATAGTTCGCTAAAATCAGTTTTCTATGTGGGGGGGAGATGCTTTATCAAGTGTCAGTCTTTCTACTAGGATGTATTATCTCACAGTGTTCGCAGTTTCCCTGACAGACAGGTTCAAAGCCGCCCTCCTCCTGAATCGTCTTGAGTTGTGTTTATGAGTCATGAAGTCATGAAACTTAGAATCTTTTATTCTTTGTTGGTAAAACAAATGAAGCATTTTGTAGAGAAATGTTTTTGTGTGTCGTAAGCTGACAGATTGGATAAAAGTTTCTCAAATATAATTCTGTTAGTTGGCATATAGACCTATTCGTCAGAAAATTTGTTTGTAATGTAAAGTTTGAAATATTTTCAAGAGAATGGAATTGCTCTTGTATTTTTTTTTTTTTTTCGGTTTTTCATGTGCCCTGCTAGTTTTTTTGCAGGATAAAAAATTTATAATGCACATATGTGCTGGTATTTTTACATGCTAAATCATAAATGTAAAGAACTGTAAATAGTAAGAGAGTTGCATGGAATAGACTAAAAGGAAAGTGAATTTATTGATCATTCCTTTTGGCTGTAGCTGATAGGTTTGTATGTTTTCTTTTTGCCAAAGCAATGATAAAAGAAATGGGTATACCCCCAGAATGAGCAGGTGCTGGACTGTATTATAGCTTCTTTACTTTCAACTGACCACGGTTGAAACGGGATTTTAAAAAATCACTCAGTTTGATCTTTCTGGGTCTTTGCATGCAGGTTTAAAAGTTAAGCGACCAACAGAATCCAAAAGCCCATTCATAAAAGTCACTGCTCCTTCTTACTGCTGTCTTTCAGCCACACCCCAGATCTTCTGGTAGGAAAGATCTACTCCTAGCCTTTTTGGACAAGGGCAAAGAGTCTCGGAGGGCCTGCGTGCAAGTTGCACACGTCAAATATCCCTTGGTGGTCTAAAATCGATAAGAGTAGGCTTTGGCTTCCACGGGGGGTGGACTTTGTTGGGATATGTTACATATATAGTCACCTTAGTTTGTTTGTTTTTTCGGGGGGGGGGGGATGTTGGACTTTTGTTGGGGTATGTTGCATATACAGTCACCTTAGGTTTTTTTTACTCGGAAATTCAGGAAGTTTTTCACTAGCTTGACTAAATGCTGTTTTGAACATCTAGTGGCTTTTCACTTCACATGGTATTATCATTTGTTACAGTTTATATAGAGGATGTGGTTTATCAATTGGTACAAGTGTTTAACTCATAAGCCCTAACCATTGATGATTGTTGTTACA